AATGCACTGTGCTGGATGGAATACTGCTCTGACATCAGTGCCCAGGAGCACGAGCCAGGATCAGAGCCTCCATGTGCTGGGCACTGTGCAAACACACACAGAGATACAGTTCCTGCCCTGAAGAACACACACAAGTCCTGCTTCAAAGCTGCCCAAGTACAAAGTCAAAAGCCACAAGAGCAGCTCAGCTCTGTCTAGTGCCCTGGCAAACACAAAATCCCTCCAGGGCAGCGTGTATCGAAGGCATGCCAGCTGTACTGCACCTCCATCAATCAAACCCCAAGCACGCAGCTATCGTCTTAGACACCCCTTCTCCCAAACGGCTTTTCTCTGGTCCTGGCAACAGAATGCCACACACAACTCTCAAGCCTGTCTCGCACAGCACCAGGGGATCCAAAGTATGAGCTCCATGTCAGCCCAGGGGAGCTCATGAGGAAGTGCTGCATTAAAAAAAAGGCTTGGGCTTTGTTTTAAGGGAAAGTGGCACTGCAGCACATGTGGAATCCGAGAGGCACATGGGAATCCGAGAGACTGAAATGAATACCACAAGTACAGTCTAAGGGACAAGGCAGGACAAATTTAATCTGACCCAATTTCATTGTAGGCTTATTAACGTTTCAGGTTTATTGGTTGGACAAATATGCCACTATCCCTCCCCACCCATCCCAAATGCTTTGTTCAGCAACTGGAGGTGCATGGGCAGGGAATAAATCAGATCCTGCCTGCCTCCTATCTGCACGGGCAAAAAAAGCCTATGACCTATTTGGTGGCCTTAATATAGCGGCTTGGCATGAGAAGTTCCTCCAACAGGCATCTAGACTTCAATACCAACTTTTTCCTTGATAGAAGTATTTTAAGGTGAGGTCATGATTTCAAAGAAAATGAAAAAGACCGCCACATTAGAAAGTTGTGTCTGCCATGCCAGAGGGCATAAACAAACACATGCCTTGCAAATGGGGCACCTCCAGTTGAGGCTGAGCAGAGGTGTTGGGGCCCTGCTCTCCTAGCACTGCAGTAGCGAAGACACATTCCTTTCTGCTCACTATCCATATTCACAACATCTTCCGCTGCCCTTGTCTGGGACATTAATCTGCACAGCAGCACAGGCCTCCTGCCAAGAGGCTTTCTGCTAAGAGCAGCATTATTGTATAAGTGAACCTACAAAGAGCAGAGCACCAGGACAGAGCAGGCACACAAGAGAGAGAGTTGTTTGTGTGCACGCACACAACCCAAAAAGAGTCACGCAGAGCGAGTGCAAAACTCCTCACCCTACCAAAAACCTGACAGCATCCAGCTAGGGACAGTCCCAAATGTCCTGCCTAAACTCTGCTTTGGGTAATTACAGCCTGCTTGCTAATTTCCTCTGGTGGTTTTAACTGGTACAGCACTCCTGTCCTGAACAGCTGGGAAGCACTGCTGTACAATGCTGAACATTTATCGCTGTCTACCCCAGAGGTAGCTGTATTCTAGGAGGGTAGAATATCTACCAGAATATTTCTACTTCCCAGAGAGATTTTGGGAGCCAAATGTGTGCTTGTGGAGGCAGAGGAAAAGACAGTTTCTACCAAAATGCCGCCCTTCCCCAGCTTTTCTTTCAAGTTCTGCCGGATGAAAGATGATTAAGAAATGAGGTCGCTTGATTTTTGTCTCCCCCCACCACCATGTGCACGGTTCTCTGCTGCCAACAAAGAGCTGGCAACCGGGGCACAACCTCGTGCCTGGCCGTGCAAGTTCCCACTGCAGGCCAAGCTACAAGGAGGCCGGCGGTGCTGGAACCGGAGATTCAGCCTAAACCTTGCGACTAGCATCCTTATTTTGAGGGGAAAATCTGACTGAGATCTTCATCGCCCCTCAGAGTTGTTTTCTTTTGTTAAAAAAAAAAAAAGAGCCTGTGCATAACATCTCCTGCAGTGGAAAGGGCCGGCCTGGTACTGGGACAAAATGGCCTGCTGGGAGATGAAGCAGAGCCAAGTCTCACAGACAAGACTTGAACCTGTGACCTTCACTGTGTACAGTGGGTGGGTGAGACCAGCTTCACTTCCACAACAGCCG